CACTCACTCACTATCTCAGACACACAAATCAAAGCGCCTCTGGGCTCCAACTGCAGCTGCTGCATTCCTCCACCACTCCCTCCCCTCTATCCATCATCCCCTCCCCTTTACCTCCACTTTCCACCAGGCCATCCATCTAATCAATAACCCAGTCAAGAAGCCCCGGCACAGCGCTCTCTCTCTCAGCTGATATTTACATGATACAATCACACACTTTTACAATAAGCTGCTGGAAAACTGCCAGAGAAATGGGGCATTTATCCTAATACACAAAACCACTCTAATAAGGCCCAGATTCAAAAAGTTGATGCTGAGAGTTATGTAACATTTAACAGTCACACACACACACACACTTGTATGTGTGCAGGGTTGCTACTGCTGATAACAGGTTATGCTACATATAATGAACTACTTTCCCCCAGAGAGACATGCAGGCAGGTGACAGCTGTCCTGTGCTGCTCACACTCAAGTTTTTTTTTTTGATCTTGAAGCAAGAATATAACAAAAGTCACTTCTTAGAACTGTTTGCATGTTGTTTGTTATCAGTGAAAGCTGTCAAACCTTTGAGTGGTGTGTTGTGTGGTGTGTGCGGCGCGCGCTTTGTCACCATGAGTGAAGATAATGATTCTGAGTACATTGGTAAACTTCAAGGTTTTATAACTTCAATATTTAAATGAATATTTCTAAATATAAAATCAATTATCACTAACTACTGTTGTAGACCAAATTCTAAACATGATATTTTAAAGATGATATTTTTCTTTACTTTAGGCCTCCAAACATTGAATAGTATAGTTTTTAATCTGAAATTGTGAGTGGTGACCTAGAGAAGAGTTTCTTACCTCCAGTGACGATAATACACTTACATAGATTAGTTTGACAATACAGGTCGAGTTAGGAAACCTTTACAGCGGCTCGATTGAGTAGAAGCAGCAAAAAACAAGCCTGTACAATGAACTCAAGTATGTGTGTGTGTGTGCGCTTGTGAAATCCCCGGAGGTCTCAATAACTAAAAGGCATGAGTGCTATTCTGCATATGCTGCCCCTGCCCCTCCAGCAAAACTACAGTTCAGCCAAAGAGTTCATATACATACATAGGTTTAACACACAACTAATGAAGGGTTTTACACACTGGATAAGGTGTGCCCGGCTGAATGATAGTCATTGTGGCAGAACCAAGAAGAGTTCCAGTAATGTGTATTTGTGTGCCCTCACTTTTATTCCACATGCTGCTATGCTGGGCAAACATAAAATCCCAATCCCAATAATCAGACAGCAAATATTTACTGAGCAGCCTATCCATGTCCGGGACTGATTGGCACATCCTGGGGCCAGAAAGAACCAATCAACAGCCTTCAACTTGTGATAAACCAGCCGGCAACAGTATTAACCGACTTTAGCAGTATAACAAAACTGTACACGGAATTATTTAAAGATCCCTTCCA